GCAAGGCCTTCACAAGAACCGGTTAAAAAGGGCTGTTTAGCCAAAAGAGAGGAAAAATGGAATACTTGTGGCCAGCCCTTACACAACAATGGCCCATGGAAACCAGCTGGAACATCCTTGTAAGACATGCAAGAACATCCCATGAATGCAAAATGGCATCTGAAACTGGGAGAAAGCTTATTTATATAGCCTATAAAAGTGAAAGTGAAAGGAGAAGGCAGAAAAATTATACAGAACTGGATTTAATGATTTGCTAAAAATATGGTTCCAGCGCAGGCCCCGTGTCATTTTGACAGGGATGGTCATCCATGCAGCTACATGCGTACTGTGATGTTAGGCAACAGGCAGCAGCAATAGCCAGGCACCATAGAAATGTTATGACAGACCACAACTGGTTTGGATAACGCACAGATTTTTGCAAAGGCACGGTGTATCTGGCTGTGGCCAGCGTTTAGGAACAAATTCTCTTTTGCATGGTTCCATATGCGTTTCTTGTGGCTCACCACCAGGCCTTGGGTCACAATCCCAAGGGACCCCAGAGTGCTCAGCAAAACTGGCTCCAGGTTCCCCGTACAAAAACCTGCAAACATCAATGAACAGGAACATGTTATACTTTAGAGATTTTCTTTAGTGAGAGGGAAGCGTCTTTGTCCCTAACCCCATAATGTTCTTTTAGTGAAGTAACAGTTTTGGGACAAGATCTTAACAGCACCCTATTTTTTTTCTTTAAAAAAAAATAAAATAAATTAAGCTCTTATTGCAGAACATGTCCTGGAAGGCATCCGAAGCCCACTGCCAGGACCAAGGCTGCACACCATTAGGCCAAAATAACTACAAGGATGTACATAAACATCACACGCGGGGGAAAAATAGGGAAGAAAGGGCTGCAACAAATAAGCACAGCAGGCTATCACAGCAAGTTAGACCCATTTCAAGATGCATTGCTGGGTTTATTCGTATTGCAAAAGTCTGAGGGAGCAGAGGAACAGGCAGCAGTAGGACCGCAGCCAAGAGACAGGGTGAGACGAACCATTTGTGAACAACTGTGAAACAAGCAAAGAGTAGAGCAAAAACTGAGAGTCAAGAATGAAGTTAACTGAAATCAGTTACTGAATTAAGGCAGAAGTTCATTCTTTTTCCTTGTTTTCCTATATATTACTAGTTTTGCATCGTGAAGGCGTGAAACAAAAAAATTCTTTTTAAACTGAAAGTAACACTGCCATGAAGTCAGATGATTTCATGAGCTGGGGCTTTGAATAATCATCAGGTTTGCAATTAATAACGTGTAACAATCCGGTTGCCAGTCAGGTGATAGAGTTGCAAGGGCCGTGGCCTCAGCTGCCGCAGGTGGAAGGGAGCGGCAGCGCCGCCCCGCCGCGGCTGCCGCAGGGGAAAGGGAGCGGCAGCCCTGCCTGCCGCGGCTCCGCGCTGCCTGGGAAGACTCCGACATCCCCCGATGCCCAGCTGCTGCCGACGGCCAAGCGAGAGCTGGCTGAAATATTTTCTTTTTCCACAAGCCGTTTTTATACCGAGTGACATGAATTCAACTATTTTGTGGGTAGGTATCAAATAACAGTTTTGCAGAAGGCCAGTACTTAAAATGGTCCATTTCAACTTCAGAATGTTTACTTTTAAACCCTAATAGTTTAAAGTCATTTTCCCTTACATGAAGACCAAACCCATTATCTTTCTGGGACAAGGGCAAGGGACAGGATTGGACAGAGTCATTTTGAATATTCCATTTTCAAAGGAAATGAAAAGTGGAACTTCAGGAGTCTTACATTAGAACTTTTTCTTTTAGCGAGCCTGGGAATAGCCTACGTAAAAGCAGTAAAAAGCATGAAATTTTGAGGATCAGGAAAAAGCAAATACTTTCCTGTGTGTTCAGATAACTGTGCTTTTTAGATTTCCCAAGAAGTTACTAACCTATTAACATTTTCCTTAAGTTTAATAATTTCGGAAGACAGACAAGTTCATGTCAGAGTTTAACTGTTCGGTGAATGGAGCAGAAGATATTGTTCTTGTTTCGTACTACTGGCACAGCTTATAAGGTAGTTGAGCCTCAAAATAACGTACCATCTAAAACATACAGTAGAGGAAAAGCATTAAGGTAATGGAAACTCAACATTTCTAATGTTCCAAACATATAAATAGAACCCGAGTCAGTACATTAGACAATTGACTGGCTTTGCTTGAATGCACGCAGGAATAAATGGAAACATCCTTATTTCCTATCCCAAGGGGCAATTATTTCAGAGCCTGGTTTTGTGCATTAATAAAAAGCAAGATTCCATTGTCTGGTAGCTAAAATATCTTACTATATATGCTGCATAAGCAGTCCGGCAGCAGAAAGGGAAGAAAAACCCAGAACTCTAGCATCACTTTCTCTAAATGAGCCTACCACACCTAGCCTATTTCTGTGTGTATATATAAATATAATAAATAAAAATATATTAGCAGAATGGTATATTGTCTATATATTTTAGAAGTTCTTTTAGTCGTCACGTGTCCTGGCTGCGCTTATGTCTACAGATGGTCCAAAATGCTTATTTCTCAAATGGTACCACGAGTCTAACAAATGCAAAGACTGGAATTTCACACCTCTTCAGAAGAGAAGGGGACTGGACTGCAACTCAAAAAACCAGCTTTCTCCCAGCTCACCACTGACACATTCATTCATTTCTTTGAGCTTCCCTTTCCTTTCTTCTCCCTGCACACCTTCAGTAGTTTGCCTTTACCCTTCAGAGGAAAAATAATGAGAACACAAAAAGGACTTATAAACAAAGTATTCAGAAATTGTACATATCGCCTCTTCTCCACATCTGTGAAAAAACCCACTGCCACGTGAACCGAATTCTTGCTCGCAGTTATGCCCAGCATCACCATTCATCATGTCTGCCCTAGCCACGCGCCTGATGGAGCGATCAGGTGTTGAAATGCCAAGGTCAGAATAAAGCCCAGGCTCATGTTGTTCCTGTTTTATTAAGCACTGAAAAGGTGGGGGTTTTTTCAGGAAGGTTTGGTTGGTTATTTTGCATCTGAGACGCTGAGTGCCACTGAAAGCCTCAGATCCTGCCTAACCACTACTGCACAGAGTACTTTGGGGACTTTCTGCAAAATGCTGTAAACTTCCTCAAATCAGTAAAATTGGGCTGAAACCAGATGGGAGACCTATCAAGTTTCACATCCCAGGATTTTGCAAATATTTGTCATTAGAGACAGCTTATTCTAATAAAGTCAGATTCACTAGAAGACAAAGCTGGTACGATTGATTTTTATTTAGAGGAAGTCTTGTAGTTTGTGTTTAAACTGCCTATTTAAATAGGCAGCTAGCATGATAATGACATCTTCAGAAGAAAAAAAAAAAGATTCTTGAAGATACATAATGTGTTTAATTGAAACCATTAGTTTTACTGGCAAACAGCTTCGTATTTCTGTTCTATTAATCCGAACAAAGTGCTGCAATTATGACTCAATACATAATGTCCTCTAGTGCTACTCACCCCACACTCCCAAAGTATAGAAAGAAAACAAAACTGTTTTCAGTTAACAAAACATTCCATGTTTCTATCCAGAATACTTTTATTATATGGTTATCATATACATCAGAATTATATTGGGAAAATTTACAAATATGTAAAGATAGTTCAGAACCTCCATTATTCACATACACACTCACACACTCCGTTTGCATGTCTAGTCAGTTAGCAGGTGAATGATGCACAAAATTATTGCTTTGTGAACATACACCTCAGATTAGATTTAATCTTCAGTGGCAAGAATTGAGATATTTAAAAAAAACAAGTCTTAAATACCCTGTATAACATACCTGTGCATAAACCTAAAGATATGTTTAGCTTACCCATTACCTTTGAAATACTTACCAAAATTAAAATTTGAAACCCATTTATAAAAAAAAGAGTATTAAAAAGTTCACCATTATTTACAAATCCGATTAAATTACACATAAATAAATATTTACATTCAACACACTGCTTCCCTTAATACACATAAAGCCTCCCTGGAAATATTTTTTGGCCTTAATAGGCAAAAAAAATAATTTTTTTTTCAAAAAAAAGTTATGTGCCTATTCTTTCAAGTTTCCCCCCCCCAATTTAAAAACAAGACATTATAAATATGTGAATAAAGCTGCAATATCCTTAGACAGAAAATGAATTTCCTAAAAGCATTTTCATTTTGAACTATTCCTTGTTAAAAAAAAAATCAAGATAATATCTCCTGCAGCCAACATTACTGCAGTTTTTAAAAGCCTGAATATTTCCATAAAAATAAGCACATCTAATGCCATCAGATAACTTCTAAGACTAGCAGGATTTTAGTACTCTCCTATGGTAATCTGAAAATAAAGGGGTGGGGGTGGGGGGGGAGGAATAAAGCAAAACAAAAAAACTAACCCACAGAATAATCTTACTATTTTTGGGTGTTTATAAAAAATTTTAATGTACATAAATCTATATACCATTGTTTAATACTGCTTTATTGTTCCTGTTGCATTTAGAGAGAATAAAACCCTGAAACTGTATCAGATAACAAATAGGCTTCCATCTAAAATCCGTATCTTAAAAACTATACATGAAGCTGGTCACCACTAGGTACTTAGATGTGGAAAAGAAATCTAAATATATCTCTTTGTGTATTTCCATCGAAACCCCTTTATAGCACCACTTTTACAGCAAAGGATTTCAATACGCTTGTACCAAGTACTTATCCTCTGGTAATTGCTTCCACAGATAAGGGATACTGCAGCTTTTAGAGACTTGTCTCATGGATCCAGGGGGAGTGAAGATCCTGAATAAGATGATTTTTTTTTTCCTTTTTCCCCCTCCTTTCTTAAAAAAAAAAAAAAAAAAAAACAACAAAAAAAAAAACCCAACCAAACACAAAACAAAAAAAAAAAACCCAAATCTCTACGTTCCCCCCGGCAAGGAGATCCCAGTCTGTGTTTAGGAGGAAGAGTTTAAAGTCTGGTTTCTCTCCTTTCACTTCCTGTGCTTATCCATTTTATCAATGGTTTTGTTGGTTTCTGCAGGGCTCTGGTCGCCAGCGTTCATGTATGTTTTGTCTGCTATTTTTAATGCTTCGTTTAGGTAGTTCTGGACGGATGTCATGGCAGCGCAGATGGCAGCACTCCCAAAGCCATGTGTGATCAGGCTAAAATGAGTCAAACAGCCCTGGATGCCAGGGTCCAAGATGGGACTAGGCCTCGTGTTTCCAAGAGGAGTTCTGTCCTGAGTGAGGAGGTCTGTGAATTCCTTACAAATCTGCCTGCAAGACACAAAGTGATCACACTTTACACCTTGGTGGGAATTTATGCAAAAGCAAGTAAATAAATACAAAGAACAGAGAAAATCCATATCTAATATTTGGCAGTTATGTGGGAATTAGTTTCCAGAAATCCATTGCTCCCTCAGCAGCGCTGTCTGAAATTAAAGCCTATTTATTAGCGCCAGTTTCTGATGAACCTTCTGCGATATCGATGCCACAGAAACACATACACAATCCGCAAAATACTCTCTGCACCTCTGCTGGCTGGCTGGCTCTGCATCATTTGCTCTCGATTTTAAGGGGGGAGTGGGAATTTGGGGCTAGTTTCTATGAGAACCTCCACAGCTGCAGTTAAGTCATTTAGAAAGACTAAAGCAGCTGAATAGGAGATTCGATTTAGTTGTGCATATTACGCGTATACGCCCTCTTTAACAGAGACCTAGGCCCTGATCCTGCAAACACTAGCACATATGCCTGGCAAAACATGAATGGTTAATAATGCTCAAGCATATGTTGTTTGCTGCTTGTAAATCTGTCCCCTTGATGGGATTTCACAGGAGCTGAGCAATCTTAACAGAATCGTCACTTTATCAGAATTTCTCAATCACAAAAGATCTTCCAAAAGATTGTTATGGGTGCTAGTAACAATACCAATAATGATAATACTGAAGAGCGAAAGGGGTAGTGCTCAGTCAAAAGCATAATTTTCAAGCTATAGGAAAGAGAGAGACTGTATTATCCAAGAGATATTTTTGTAAAAGAAGGGCTCTCTTTCAGGGAAGGGTGTATTAATTCAGCAACAGGAGTGTGGTTTGCATGCCTGATCTGAGCCCAAAGTCAGGGCAACTCTCCTCAGCAGTTTAAGCAGGCTTTTCTCAGATCCTCTGCAGAGCGAGGGTGCCTTCAAAAGCAAGGAATTGCACCAACCCCAAACCAGAAAACGTCCCGGACCAGGGCGGATCATGAAGTGAGAGCTTTGTTAAACCTCAGCCTGGGAAGGCCGCGGGGGGAAGGGGCAGCGAGCGCTCCGGCCACTGCTTTAAGCTAAGCCCAACTCAGCACAGGTATTTCCTACCGGAGACCTGTTCAGTACGTGGTTTGCTTACAGGTAAGTGTCTGCAGAACAGCATAACAAAGCTCCTCTCCTTTACCCCTCCTTCCCTGCTCATCAAGCTCTGCAACGGGAATTTAGTTAAGTGCAGGGACTTTTCACATTTACCAAAGGTTGGCTTTCACTAAACTAAGAAAAATCTTCAGCTGTAACGGTGAAAAGGGACTATCCACAGTTCTTGACTCCTAGCATCCCATGGGCGCTGCTTTTGCCAAAAGCAGTTACGAGGGCACGCAAGCGGAGCTTCCCCTGCGCCCAGCCCACCCACCAGTAACTCTCCTTGGAGTGCCCCTCCGGGCTGCACGTAGGCAGAGGAGGGTGAACCATCTCCTGCTCCCGGTCCCGGCAGCGGTTCACATGCCCGGGCCACATCTGCCCTCCAGGTCCTCAACCCTGTCAGAGCTGGGGACGTCTTTTTCTTAGAGATACAGTCATCCTGGTATAGGGCTTTTTCTTAAGTTTCTACTATAGTTAAAAGAAAAAAGGACAGAACTGGTCCAAGCTGCTTTAGAGTTATCGTACAGGGTTGTTGTTATTATTGGTTCAAACTAAAATAACTGCTGCCATAGCTGAATTCAAACCAAAACCAAATAAAAAGAATTGCTTCATCTCCCTGATTAAAATTACACATGAAAATGTACCAAACTGTCCACGGTCACAGATACTCATGGTCAGACAAAAGCATCTTTAAAAAGAAGAGGGGGGAAAAAAAAAATCTAAGCCCAAAACTTACTTTGCAGCAAGAAGCATATTCTTCCTGTTTGCCATTTCATTGCGGCCCATGTGTGGTCTAGTTAAATATTCAGCCACTGCTTTGGAAGGAAACTCTGTCTCACAAACATAACCAAAGTCACGGGCAAGATGTACAGCTTCACCTGGCGTGGATGAAAGGGAAGGCTTATTAAACGTAGTTACGTCTGTTTATTATAAGGAGATCAGGGGAATTAAGCAAAGTACTGTGAATTTTTGAAGTGTATTTCTATTTTAGAAAGGGACACTGCTATGTTACCACCATACCACTCGTTACCATTTTCTAATTAATAGATCAGTGTTTCTTTGTAAGTTTGCATCGAGGAAAAAACACCTCCATGGTGACTGCTACAAAAAATAATTCTCTTGCCTTTATACTGGAAAGAAAAATTCCCATCTCTATCCAGATTAACAGCGCAGCAAAGACTAGAATTCAGTCTAGATGAAATTGTCCACCGATATTTAAAAAAAAAACCTGGCAACTAAATTTTACTTATATAATAGAGGGTTTATCAATTTAGTGTATTTTCTAAGTACTGTCTAATAAGCATTTTCATATAGAAAATAATGTTGTAAGCTGTATAGCTAGACCACTTGTTTTTCATTAAGGCAATTTGATCAAGCTTAAAAAAAAATGGATTGGCACGATCAGTGCGTTACCTGTAACGTACACGTGGGCATGTACACACACATAAACTCTCTTTATTAAACCCAACTTCCAAAGAAAGGTTTTAAATGGAAGTTGCTGTATTATTTGAGCTGATGTAGAAGTGAAATAGCAGTAAGGTATTGTTAGATCATTTTTCACTTTTCAATTGCTGCTTCTATTCCCATTAAATTGTACCACTACCAGGAGCTGCTTTAAAGAGAAACACAAAACATAACCACACACATACATATCTATACACCCTTCAAGTCAGCTTAACTGATAGAGGGTCCACATAACATGTTACAGATTAAAGGGGCTCCAGTTTCCTATCAGGAAGTCAAAAGCTATAAATCTCGCTTTATATGCTTGTTTATTAGAAAAGCTTCTGAGGATACCGCTGAGGTAGGGCCAGGCACTGGAGTCAGCTGCCCCGGACTTTTTAAGTTTCCCAATAGGGAACCAAACCCAGTAATGCGATGAGGTTTTTTGCCTTCCCTGCCTGTCCCTGCACACACCCTTACAAAACCCCAAACAACCCAGCCCCCTCAAGAAACACAGGCTGGACAAACATGCATTTTGAACAGCTTGGCATGTAGGAGTTACTGCATCCCTGCTAGCATCCTTGCGATGCAGCCGTGAGGAAGAGGAGCGTTAGCTGGGTTTGTGCGGGTAGGGCTCTGAGGCCAAGGGCTTAGACACCAGATCTGAAGGGAGAAGAAGGGGAGAGGAGCCCCCCAAAGGCAACACAGCTGCTACTTGCTGCAATGTTCCCATCATGCTCACTTTAAAATAAACAAAAAACTCTCTATTACATTCATTGAATTTCTAGTCTTTCCATGCTTTGGCTAGAGTATAAAAGCTGTACACAGGGGGAAAAAAGTTTATTTTTAAGACCCGTTCAAGACTGACCTTCCACCAAAGATGTCAATAGTGTCACATTTGCAGCTTTCCTTCTACCAGCGGGAAGATTCAAGCCAATTTTATCCAGTTTTTCCCTTAATGATCTGCCACCATTTTTAGATTTGGCTCTGTAATTAAAGAGGAAAAAAAATTGCCTTATTTATCTTCAGGGAACACTTCTTTTTAAAGATGAGAAATTCCAGTTACTGACATTCAATAGGGTTCTTCTACTGGGGGGAAAGTAAAAAACCGGATCCTTTCAAGTGACCTACTTTTTAAATGCTCTACTACAAACCAGGCAGGATGAAACACAGCAGAAGTCAAGATCAAAATGTTTCAAACTGCACCATCAAAACCAACAGCTGTAGAACGATCACAAGCCGAATAAAGTGTATGCGAAAAAGGACATAGAAAGCGTCCTTGTAATGATTAATCAAGACGACGAGATTTAATCCAAAAACCATTCCATGGGGAAATAGTTTGTCACAGGAATAAGAAAGCTCCATGAGCCGTTTTTGAGATAAAAATCCAGCTTTAAACAGAGAATGAGAATTGCTGTCAGAGCTGTTAATAGCACTTCTCGAGAAGTAGCAGAAGTGCAAAGAAGTTTTATTTCCAAAGCCTATTAGGATTCAGTGTTGTGGGGCTTCTTAAAAATCAGAAGTTTGCTTAAAGGCTTTCTTAGCTCCTCGTTGTGCTAATCTGGCTGCTCTCTCACACACACACAAGCAGGAAAAAAAGAAAAAAAAAAAGAAAAAATGACAACAGACACGATGGGGATGGCTGTAAGGGGGTCGCAGCCTACCTTCTGAGTACTCCTCCTAGCAAGGAGGCATTGAGACACTCAGGGGGCGAGAGCCGTCTCTGCACCTCTGCTACCGTCACTTTGTATTTCGACGTGGAGCTCAGGAGGGAAAGCCTCCCCGGAACAGAACAAAATACTTCATTGGGGTTTATGACCACTCCAATTAATCCATCCTTTTGGCAGGGCAGGCTCAGAGCACTGTTTTTCGTTAAGGAAATGGGACCTGCGGGAGGAGGAGGGAAAGCAGGTATTTTATAGAAGGGAAAAATAAATAGGAAGCGGCAAGTGAATTTCCTTTCTACAAAACCAGAGCAGAAGACAGGATTTCGTTTTGCTCTAAATGCTCACACCACTGACCCCTGTCCCCAGCACCCATCTGCAGCACCGAGCTCGCCTGCGACCGAAAGCCCCCACAACTATTCCCGAGCGACTGTATTGTGCCACAGGAAATTTCAAGGAGCTGCCGAACACGACTACGAACGCTTTTCAAAAAAACGCACAAAGAACACCTCTCCGAAGCAGCACGCTGCAAGTTAGCAAATCCGTACTTAGAAAAAGCCCGATACAACTACAGACTCCAAATTAGCATCCTTCAGCTGCTGCAAAAAACTCTTTCCGAGCCGGGGCAGGGAGAAGCCTCCCAGCTCCTGCTGGGGTTCCTCTTCCACCTCGCACACGCGGATTTAAGAAACCGCCTTTGGAATTTAATGCCAACAAATTCGTAACAGACCGTGCGCCAGGGAGCGGGACGCAGCCCAGAAGAGAACTGAAAGTAAAACACCGCTCGCTACTGGCTTCAGCCTTTAGGTGAATGGGGGAAACAAAGGCTTCGCACGGAGCAAGCCACAGACCCGGCTCTCCCATCCCCTCGCGAATCCACCCAGTTAACCCCCGGTGGGGCGCTGCCGGCCCGCGGCACCGACCGCAAAGGGTTAAAGAGCCGAGGTCGGCCCCGCTCCCCGGAGGGGGAAAGATTTTTCAGTGGTGCATCTGACAGCGAAATTATTCTCCCATGAGCTGAAGGCAGCAATCAGCGCTCCGACAAACACTTCTGCTTTTCCTCAGTTAGGTATTTGTTTGAAGTCTTCAGAGGAAACTTCCACTGATTTTTTTTTTTAAGCACAAATTTGTTTAAAAACAAAAGCGGGGGGG